GATTTTGCGCCGTACCAAGGCGAGCCCTTAGCTTCTAGTGAAGACGGCGATAACAATGGCGGCGGCGAAGATGAACAAGAAGACGAAGACGGTATTTTGTCCTCCGTTTTAGAACAACGCTTCGAAGGACAAGCTCATTAAGACAATTGGTGAGAGCTCATAGCTGTGATTTTTTATTTTTCGATTGAACCTTCAGGCTTAAGTCTAAACATTTCTGTTTACAGGTGTACGTCTGGAAATTGGAGTGTTACACACTTAGCTGGGGCGCGTGACGTTAGATGCTGTTACGGAATACTCCAGACGAGAGGGAAGTTTACATTTATCGGTCTCGATGCGGAATGCATTTTGAACCATTCCGACTTTTCTCCATTAACAGACCGTACTGTTCTTGAAGCAACAAACTGCGTATTTATTCCTCGTCCAAACGCCAAGCGGAATTTCACACCTATTGTAAGCACACACTTACCATTCTTTGCTCACGCGAGGACAAGGCATTTTCTTGTTGCTGTACACCATCTTTGGTTGGCACAGCATCCTTCTTTAACCATCGCTTTGTTTGAAAGGAAGCTAGAGCCTTCCCCGACATTTAGATCGAGTCGCTGCTCAAAGTTTGACAATTCAAAATGCATGGAACACAGTACTGATATTTTCGATGACTGCCACTTTGCCCGATGTCTTCCACGAAGCGAACCCATTTCTCGCGAGTTACATCGTCACGAGGAAACATTTGCATCGATAGGCCCGCATACATTTTTTATTTCGGGATCTATAATGTGATAAAGCCACTTGGGATGTTGGGAGAACACGAGGAAAGCTCATAAGTCTCGAGCTGAGGGCAAGCAATTTATAAGCTTTCCTCGTTTTCTCCCAACATCCCAAGTGGCTTTTTCACGTTATATAGCCCAGAAACATGTGTTCTATTGCTTAAATATTCTACTGCTTTCATGACGTATTTTGACGTATTTACTTTCAAATGCAAGTTACATGAGGGCTGTATAACCTGATACAGCATCTGCTCGGAAACTGAATTGACTAATCAGATGATGCGCACTATATGTTCATTATTCGCAGTGAAAATAACGGCGATGACGCCAAACAATTTAACAGCACAATGAAATAAAAAATCCTAAAAGTTTATTTCTTGCAAACGATATAGGACAGGCTTATTCATTCAAGATACGCGAGTTATATTTTTTAGGTCTCTTTCGGTTTTGAAAAGATCTACAAAGCCTTCGTTTACTTTCAAACGTAAAACACTAAAATCTGAGGCAAGCCTTCATTTAATCATTATTTTGAAAGCTAAGTGGACCTATTAAATTAGAATGAGGTCTTTTCTGATTCAGTGTTGTGTGTAACTCTCAAAACATTCCAAAGTGATTAGCAACGTTTCATGGTGTTATATTATAACGTGAAGCGAATGAAGCAAATTCTTCCAAAACTCGGAATACACTTAACACGGCAGGTTAAACATCAAAGACAAATGTGAAAGTAACGTTTGTTAATGGCTTCATATATTGCCTCAGAGAACAACATTCTCGTCTCTTTTTTTTTTTACGCTTCCTTTTTCTTTTGGAAAATACTCCAGTGGCCCCATTTTACAGTTTATACCTTTACCTTTGCAAGCGAAGATCTAAATCCTCAGAGAATAACAGTATGTAAGTGCCATGAGAAATAATCTTTACAAGAGATTGATCACAAATAATAATAATTAAAATTATTACGTCCAACTCGGTATGTAAAAACCAGGAAAGATTTATTACTCGACGTTTCGGGGTCATCGTGACTCCATTATCAAGAGACTAGTTTAAAAACATGCAAATAAGGAAAGGTACAAGAATAGCATAAATTAGACTGATTTATGCTATTCTTGTACCTTTCCTTATTTGCATGTTTTTAAACTAGTCTCTTGATAATGGAGTCACGATGACCCCGAAACGTCGAGTAATAAATCTTTCCTGGTTTTTTCTATGCCTTTGCTTTAGCAAATCCCTGCTTATCAACTCGGTATGTGTTCATAGTTCTGATTAAGAAATCAGAGTCCCACTTTAGAGTTGTCCAATTTTAAGTTGTTAATTCCCCCTATGATTACAGACCGAATAGGACTCCGCTTAACCGTATCACGTGTAAACTTATTAGTTACAAGAAATTCATGAAGCGTAATATTAACGTACAACAATATCGCAAACGATTACGATTAAATTTCCAACTCTACCAGAATTTAAAACATTTATTTTCAAATCTATTACTCAAGTCGGTCTATCCTTCACAACTTTAATACACAGACACAGGCTGTCTAATAGCTGTTGAAACACGGTTCATAGTACACGTGACAATGAGGGGCAAGTAGCCCAGAAAGTTACTCTCCAAAGTCTCTCCATTTTACAAATGGTGTTTTGCAGTTTCAGGCTCATTGTCATCGTTTTTCTTTGTTTGTTTGTTAGTTTGTTTTTATTCTTCGTTGCATAGATTTAATGTCCTCGTAAAAGTTAAATAGAGGAGACTCTTCCATAAGTTTGCCTCTTATCGGTTTTGTAATTTAAATTTGTCTATCCCTAATTACTTTCTGCCTGAAATTAATTGTCATTTGTAACGTAGCTATCAAGATTCAAGTGGTCTAGGTATCGTGTTGGCATAAATATTCTACACCAATCATAAGCAGGAATACACCATGAAAATTTATTTTGCTTAGTATACTCGTCGCTATGAACGTGGTCAAGCCGCGCAAATACTTTGTATGACCGAAAAGGTAAATGCTATGGTTAGCTCCCCAATGCCTATGGATACGGCATAAATTAGATTAAATGCTCATTTTCAATTGTGCTACCCTGTACTGCAGTAAAAGCTCTATTAAGCGGACACCCACGGGAAATGGCATGGTGACCGCCAAACACAGGTTGAGCCCATCCCTGTCAGGTTTTTTAGGCTCTTTAAAGTAGAGTTCGGAAACATATCTGTTCGCAATAGGCAGCTTACAAAAGATCAGCCAACATAGGAAACCCACGTTCATCCAACAAGTCGTACAGTTCACCCACGCTCAAGCTACCCTGCCTAGCAGCAAAGGCCAGAGCGGCATCCATTGGGTTTCTATGACGCTTGTCAAGGAAACGAATCTCCCGTGGAGTTAAACCCAGGCCTTCAGCGATCTCCTTCCACTCGTCTCCGCCTTAAAAAAAATAGCTTTTGATGTTTTAATTATATTAAACGAATGACGTTTCTTGCCACTTTGTAAGTGGTCAAAAATTGTAACACAGCAACATAGATAATATGTTAAACACGTGATGGCTTCAACCAAGACGACGACCTTAGTGATCACTTAAATCTGACATGTCAGATAGCCCTAATAGAGAATAGCTGTATTAACAAATTTATAGTGCATGCTGAGAATTATGATAAAAAATGATTGCTTTTCAGAAAGCAAACCTTACCAGCCAAGTCGATTGTGAGTTCCCTTGCAACGGAATCTGGTATATCTAGGACATGAAGGTTTTCCGGCAGATGAGGACCTGAACAAACAAATAAAAAGAAGATGAAAAACATCGGATTGCATTGGAAGACAAATAAAAGGAACAGGAAAATGTTTCTGGTGTAAAAGCATGGTTGGCAAATCTTGAGGAGCATGATAAAAGATAAGATAGAACTAGGAGTTGATCACATATAGTATCCACCTATGGTTGGCTGGCGAGGTGAGAATGCGGGCGTATTTCTCATGACAACAAGCAAACGCTACGGCAGCATTTAACGTACCATACGAAAAGCTTGCGGGTTACTCACATTTACATTTTTTGCATAATTATTTATTTGATGATTTGTTTGCTTATTTACATAATCACAATGTCATTTATTTTTATGGATAAATCTCATACGTAGTTGTGAATAGCTTTCTGCACTACTCTAATGCATCAGATAGCTACCGAAAATGAATTAAAGTGGAGACTGCCTGATAAGTAACCTACAATTCCAACCGGTGTAATAGCTCTCAAATGTTTGACTACGTCAACCCTATTTCAATCCTTTGCTCTCTTTGCCAGACAACGAATTATTCTCCTGCTGAGTGGCTCTGGCCGATCAAGATCATCTTGGTTTAGCTGCAGGTTCACTTGTAGTTGATGAACAACCTCATTGGCAGCGCAAGACGGTAACAGAAGGGACTGCTGAACATCATCATCATCAATACCCGCCTCGTAGCAGTAGTTGTCAAAATAAGAGTTTCTAAAGGTTTATGTTTTCTTCGTGATTTTGATTTGATTTCTGCAGTACCCTCAATTATAACCCACCCATTCATTTTGGCGCGATTTCATTGGTTACTTTACGTCACGTGGTGCAAAATCACAGGACAGTTATAACGCAATAACCCTCGTCCGCGTCGATATTTGTCCTCCGATTTTTTCCGTGAAAAAGAAACATAGTCAACACAAGAGTTTCAACTTTCCCGTTCTCCTATTTACATGGAACGAAACCATACTCGTGTTTTTGAGTCTAGTGATAGTGACATTACGGAGCTGGTCGCAAAAGCTGTTCCGGAAAGTGCGAAAAAGACAACAAATTATGCTGTCAAAGTCTTTGTTACAAAAGCGCAAAGTTTTCCAGTTTTTTATCTAAGGGACGTTATTAAAGTTAATTTCAAATGACAGCCTGTCAAGTTTTTGTCCAATCACACTGAAAATAAAGTTATTTAAACCAATCAAATGTACTTGCTTGCTTGCGTCAATCACGCGCATTCGTTATCAGATCACCACTGGCTTTTTTACTGTGTTTACGCGCAGTTTAATTGCGATGTGAAAATTAATGGGAGGGTTATAAAATAAATAAACCCCGTTCTGGCTTGCTGGTATGTCGGCTGATAATGTCCTTGGCTGAGAGATTGTCCTCAAAATTTCATATCTTCCCTCGAAGCTTCGCTTCTCCGCCAAATATTCATTTTTCGGACAATCTCTCAGCCGCGGACATTATCAGCTGACATACCAGCCGCCCGAAGGGGTTTATTTACTAAGTATCCTATAGTTTCATGGCGAGATAGGTTTCGCAAGAATACGTAACTAACCAGTAGTTCCAGCCGGTGCAATCTCTCTTAGATGTTCGAAGACATCATCTCTCTTTAAATCTTTTGCTTTCTGTGCCAGACTACGGACTATTTTCTTGGTATCAGGGTCTGGCCTTTCAAGAACGTCTTTGTCCGGTCGCAGGTTCTCCATTAGTCGAAGAACAACCTGTTTGGCATCCAAGGACTCTGACAAGAGGGATTGCTCAACATTATCAGGAAGGGTAACTTCGGTGGCTGCTAAGAATATACAAAAGGAAGAGATCAGTTATCAATCAATGGTAATTCAAAGAAACGAATTCACTGCAGAAGGTCTTAGGAAAGTATTGTTCGGAGAATTTCAGCATATTAATGGAGTTTACTTAGTATCCCAACACGATACTAAAACAGTTACATCACTATAGCCTCGAACTTTGAATCGATATCATTTATTCTTATTGAGTTTGGATAAAAGAGAGAAATGTTGGTTGGTGTATTTTAAGTTAAAAATATGATTTAAAAAACGCCATGCAAGTATAAGGTGCACCCACCGGTAGTTTTATCCGGGTTGAGCAACATATCACCACTCTTGCAATCAAAATCTAGCAAATCAGGACATGTTCTTTCCAGCTGAAGACTCTCCTTTAGCTGTGGTGAAATATTTGGGTCGTCTCGCTGCTGTGTTAAACGGATTTTCAAAGCCTCATCGGCTGAAAGAGTTTCGTCACCGTCTTAAAACAAAAAAAAACAGTTGAAAATTTCAGTAAATTAAAAGAATTGTTTTCTCTTCAGTTAGCTATAGAGGACATCAAAAACATATTAAATAATGGTACCTGCGACGGATGCTAATTTTCCATCATCACATTTATCAATGGGAAGCTGTTGGAATGAAAAGAGAGGAATTAAACAACACAATGGAAACGCAATATTTCTTAAATAACTGTTGTAGGTTTAATGAGGAATATTTCCTTAAAATTCTTTACAATATTTACCTTAGGCAAGTGTGATAAAATGATTATTTAACTATTTCTAATTTTAAGGAAACAAAGAATATATCGGAGCTCGAAACTGTTACAACCTAACACAAACACAAGTGCCTTTATCATCTGTATGGACCCGACTTCTGTCGGTTTCAATTAAGCATACGCGGTCTCATCTTTTGAGGACAAACAACGTTTTCACGTTTCTTTATCTCTTTAAAAAAAATGAAAATTACCTCAGAAAACTATGAAAGCCGAAAAGGGACTTCAGACTTTACTTCAGACTTGAGACTTAGATATCTGTGCGTTTTTTTTCTTTTTTTAAGAGAAAACATCATGACAGTCATTTGATAAAAGCGATGATGTTTTCCCATCCTCGGAGACCCAGGGGCTGTGAGTCGATTTCAAGTTTGGGGCAGAAGAGCCCCTGGGGACATTGTCTTACAAGACTAGTTCCAAACGGTCGCAGTCGTTCTGGCATCTGATTGGTGCCAGAAAATCTTTGTGTTTTTCTGCCCAATCAGAGTGAAGTGTCCTTTGGAGTCCTTTCGTGTGTTTTAACACGCACACCTACAACAGGCTCTGTNTTTTTCAAGCGAAGATTAGATTAGATTTTGGCCGGGCGTGCACAAAAAGTTGCGTAAGCGCCAGTTGCTCGACATACCTGCGTGGCCCGTGCGACGAAATAGCTTCACGGGATTGGAAAAGTTTCAGTTACAGCAAATTATACAAAAAATCTTGAAAGATTTAGGCTTACATCTCATCTAACGTTTAAAGCGACATATCAATGCTTGCAACCATTATGTTTTATACGAACCTCGCAAACTTTTAAACTCGTTCTCTTGTGATACCTGCGAAAGTATTCGGTATAATTTCCGGTAAGATTTCGCGGACAATCTGATCGATTTCTCTTACATTGTGTGCTGAGACTGAAACTTTTCACGTCGGGCAAAGCTTCGTCGCACGGCCCAAAGAAACATAGCGAGCAACAGAGCTTGTTGAATATGTGCGTATTGAAACACACGAAAGGACTCCAAAGGACACTTCACTCTGATTGGGCAGAAAACACAAAGATTTTCAGGCACCAATCAGATGCCAGAACGACTGCGACCGTTTGGAACTAGTCTTGTAAGACAATGTCCCCAGGGGCTCTTCTGCCCTTAACTTGAAATCGACTCACAGCCCTTGGGTCACCGAGGATGATGTTTTCCATACCAGTGCTGTTAATAGTTCAACAGTGTACATGCACATTTTTTCCGATCGTAACAGATACTCAGAAACCAATGTAAAGTGTTTGAAAGTTTTCTTGAGAGCTTTTTAAATCACCCTTATCATTACGCAATCAAAAATGTTTTGCGGAGCCTCTCTTTTTACCTCAGTTCTCTCTATCATCTACTCGCTCAAAAACTGTTCCACTTATGGAGGATGTTGCCGAAATCACAGCCCTTAATCAGAATGGTTCTTTTGGAGCATCTCATTAATTTTTGGAAAAATAAAAATGCTTTTTATCAGCCTAGTCTTAGGTCAGAAATTAGAAGTCTGAAGTCTGAGGTCGTAAGTCTGAATCTCCTTCTCATCTTTTGTAGAGAACTGCATTGCGTTATTTAAAATTATTTACCTGATTTCTCATAGGAGAGAACCAAGGCTCGAAGTTTTTCACCGAAACTCTGTTCATCTTAGCAGTTTCAGATCTGGTGCAAAAGATCATCTTCTTGTCGCTGAACAGCTTTGACTCGGGCCAGAAGTGCAAGCATTCTTCTTGCTTGCAATTTTTTGTACGATGTGTGCGGCAGTAGCTGACTGCATTTCTTCGACAACAAACAGGGCACAAGAAACTTTTTTCATATTTCATATTCTGTAGCCAAAAGAATTCCCTTCGCATGGACTCAAGCACCAATTCCAGTTGCCTCAATACTGCACAAGCAAAGGGGTCGCAGTGGTTATCTACAGGCGAAGTTATCTCTGACTTTGAACAGTGTGCCTCCTCATGACCGTAATTGCCTCTGTAAGCCACAACCTCTATTGACGACATATGGCACAGGAGGACTACGGAACAATTTTCCTTTTCAAAACTGTAAATCCTGACAAAATTGTGGTAAAGCTGAGGGTGCTCTGGGCTGGCACTTTCTTGATTGCACCACTGTAAAAACTGCAGCACCAATCGGGGAAACAAGCCAGATGGAACTTGTCCAGATTCAAATTTAATAAAGAGAGGGGGAATTTCTGCAGATACAACCAGCTCTATTATTTCTTCTGGTGGGTGCGACATTAACATGGATGGCACTAGGTACTGCTTACTACATGAGTCATCCAAAAAAGGCCAAGAGCAAAGCAAACTGAACTTCTCCATGATCGCAATGAGACCCTGGCAAGTGTCCTCTTTGTGATATAGAGAACCCCAAACATGTTCTAGAAGAGGTTCTTCCAAGATTCCTTCGTTTTCAAGCCTAAGCCAAAGCTCTTCAAATTTTTTCTCACTGCTGTCAAATGGCCTAATAGTTATAACTTCCTTGAAAACATCAATCAACCACTGAGCGTCAAGGACCACCATTTTGTTAAGCTCTGGAGTGTCATCAAAGTGTATTAAAACTCTTTGATCATGCAAAAAATTCAGTAAAGTTCTAAATTCTTCATCGTCAGCAACGTTACACACATCCGTAGCAATCTCTTTTGCCTCTTCAAGGAAAATCCACTTGTAACCCTTATCCTTCGTGACTTGCATTTCTTTTTCAAACTTAAGCCACCTGATTGGAACTGCTTCTTTCATATGTGGTAGCTCCTTAGCAACGGCACGTATTTCCTGGCGCAAGCGCACGACTTCTGGACATTCCAATTCATCGCCAGACTTAGTGTTATCAACAACAAAGAAATCATGTAGGTGGCCCTTGTAGGGTTTGGTTCGCAAGTGACCGAATACCATCCTGCCAAGCTCACGAGGGTTGCCTCCATCATTAGGTTTGTCAGCATGAGTGCAAACTAAAAACACCGGTGGGAGTTTAGAGAACACGTCAGATTTCGAATTCCTTTCGTCCTGAGTGGCTAGTGATGCAACGGATGACATCCAAAAATCAAGATAATCGGCATTTGTCTTCAAACGAAAGCTGTCCTGTAATTTCGTGAAGTAAG